TTATAATCATGGTGGTCTGTACAGTAAGAAAAATAAAGAAATCTTTTGCTTTGCTCGGGTCACTGAGATTACATGCAGGAGACGGTTTTCCTGCTGATTCAGGCACAACCGCAACTCCGGAGACGAACTCAGCATTGTGGAATTCTACTTTCCTATTTAATGACTTTTAAGGTTCTTCCGTTTTATTGTTGTATAAGCAGGATGCGCATGTTGCTATTCTGCCGCATGATTGATCCGACCGAACATTTTATAGTCAAACAGGTCAATTCTCAAAACATGAAAAGTTATTGCTTTAAGATGTTTTGGTTTAGAGCTAGGTTATTAAAAAATCCCTTATAAATAGCCAATGATCATCAGTAATTCAGAAGGAAAATAGCTCTAAATCCTCCGATTCACTCGCTTCCTTTGCGTTTTATCGGCTAATGGACTGTAAACACTTTTCCGAATATTACTTAAAATTTGTAAGATTTTATGCAATTATTCACCAGAAGATAGATTTAAAGCGTTCGAGTGCATACAGATCTCCCTTTTATTGAGAGTCCGTGGATAATCGCGGACCGCAAAGGAAACGCTTTCTTCGTGGAAAAAAAATCGTAAAAAAATGTTATGCTTTTTACTATTACCATCATAGTTATTCAAGCATTTTGGCATTACTAAGCAGTGAAATTATCGACCCATTGGGTAGCTTGTCGTGTAGATAGTATTTCTTAAGGTTCAATTTCCACGTCACACGTAATCTGGACATTTAGACATAACTGCCACTTGGCTTTTTACAAACTAAATTAGATGGAAGGTAATGATATAAATTACCGAGCTAAAAATCATGTTGTATAAATGTTTCTGCCTCTTTCCTAGGCGTCTCAAGTGTGGAAAATGGAAAACTCGAGTAACAAGTATCGCGCAATGGACCATGGTAACGTTTAGCGTGGACGCAAAGGACGCTGGGAAGGGTGAACGAGAAAAATGAGACGCCTCGCAGATTTGTTGATGTCTTGCAGAGTTAATTTTCACGTAGTAAGATCAGCATTGCAGTATTCTGCTTGCGTAATTTAATATGTCTACATTAATATTTTTGCTGATCAGGTCTTTATAGAGCCTACGTTCTTCGGCATTTTCGTTTGCGGTCCTTTGCAGTCCCTTGTGGTTAATGTTTGTACTTCACAGATTTGGTTCGATTTCTGTCCGATTTCTGGATTTGGGCTGTAAACCGTTCCCGAGTTTTTCTCTTCGCCTTTCCCATGATACCTAGCGCGGAACCAAAATCCCAGTCGCTCTCGAATACGCTAGAACGCGCCTGGTTACGAGGCAGGTAATGTTTTGTTTTGGTTTGCAATCGATCGCGCGCTTCATCAACACGAACGCGTCCTACCTCAAGACACATAGGTTGAAGAGTGAATGAAAACTTTCCTGAAACTTTAAAATCTCAGTTGGAAAAAAATAAAAGTGTTATTCATCGGCCTAGGTGTGCCCTCGGTCTGAGTACCGCCCTCGGCCGTTCTCCCAATAAGGACCTCCCACCCAGTCAACATATATATATATCGCGCGCATTTTTCTATTTTCTATTTTTCTATTTTCTTTTTTTCTTTATTCATTTGCAACATACACGTATGGCTGTCGACATTTGCCTGCTGGAATTTTTCAATGCTTTTAAGGCTAAAAACAATGAAAAATTCCAAAAGGCAAAAATGTAAATAATTCCACCAACCCAGCCGCCCATTCATCGTCCATCCCAGAGCTTCGATCCTTTTGGTCAGCGGCTCTCCCTGCCGCTGACCAAAAGGATCGAAGCTCTGGGAACGAGAATGCCCAGCCGCCCAGCTTGCGATACACTTTAATAACCCTACTTAACGTACCTACACTCTCGATCTGAGGCGCTGACCAAAAGGATCGTACTTCCGAAGATTTCCTTTTACACATAGGGGTTTTGGTTTTAAGACGATCAGAATTTCCTTTAAAGTACGTTCGAAGAAAAGGATACCGCCGGTGAGCTGAAAGCAAAACGGAAAAGGTTTGGGGCTTTAGAGTGGGTCATGGCGTCTCCAACAAATGAGGAAGTTTCCCATTTTATAGGATATATTGTAAAAACAGCTACAAGAGACGAAACACGCCTCAAAGAGGATGTCATTGAGTTGTGCGAGAAAGTTCTTTTGCCCCTGTGCAAGGAGGTGAATGGTAGAGTTGAAAATAAACAATTCGTTACAGAAAGACTAGAATTCCTGACAAAGCGTTTCACCGATATTTACTGGACCCTTAGATTACACCTTGTATTCTACCATGGTTTGAAGAAGGCCAATGAAGTAAAGGAACTCCAGGAACTTGGCCATCTACTTAGATTGTCAGAATATGACCTTAAGAAGAAATGTCCAGGCGCGGATTATGCAGTCGACCCGGGAAGCAAACTCTTGGATATCGTAAGTATAGGTTAATTCACTGAGGCTATGTTTACACTATACTACCTGGATAGCTCTTTGGGCAGACACAAAATACCATCTGGTATAGTATGAACAGCAATGGCACAGAACTGAAAAAGTTGTTCAGACACATCAAACATCATGCCGGAGTGGTTGGCCAATAGAGTTTGGTGAGCTAAATCCCAGTAGTCAAAATCACTATTCTTATGTGTGAACAAGAGCCCTATTAGATATGGTGTTCAAGAGGTATCCGACGCAAGAGGTATCCAGTAGAGTGTGAACACAGCCTTAAGCTCACTGAGAAACTACCTGAGCTCAATTGATAACTTTAAACCAGGATGAGCAAAGGATTAAAATCCAAACAGCAAGGTGCTTCAGAAAAGGCCCTGAACTAAGCTAGGTGATAAAGCCAATATCATAAATAGTATGCTGCCTCTCAGTTGTTGTTATTGATTGCACTCCTCATAAACTGGTGGATGCCAATTACCATATTTTTCACGTAAACCTTGAAGCATTGTCTTGAATTAGCCTGTGTACAACTGCCCCCTCCCCTCAGTCAAAATCAGGGAGAGAGATGTCTAATTCACACTGCTGTTAACCATCCTCCTGATTAATTTGCATAAATTAATTGTTTAAATAATCCTCTGACAGTTTTAAAAAGTGTTGACAGGGCAACACAACTCTTGTATAAAACATGTGCAGGTATTTTCAGCCTTACAGCTTGGCTCTAACTGGAATGTCTTAGGTAATTGTCATTTACTCTTTATAACAAGTATATTATTCTTTGGAGGTTTCTAACACATATAGCCTGTTCCAGGTGTTCAGATCGTGGAGACGGCGCAAAGGGACGTGAGCAGACAAAAAAAAGCGAAAGGGTGGGGTAGGGGGTGAGAGCGAGGAAATGCCTGTGGTACTTTTTAACAAAAGTTCATTCAGGTATACCAGATTCTAGTATACCCTATGATTGGTTTATTTTCACAGCTCTTGTCAGCATTTAGAAGTTCATTACCTTGATTGGAAATGTGGTGTGCTAGCAATGAGATTACACATCAGGTTATCTTGAAAGCGTGGTGAAGTGATTTGAAATAAGCAACACAGTTTTAATGTGGAATGTCATCCCTGAAGAACAGGAAAAATCATTTTGAGGCAGGATCTTGTCAACAGAAAGCAAGGCTTTGAAATTTTACCATTCTTCAGGAATATTAAATACGCGCATGAACCTTCTATTGATATTGAGCCTTTGTTTAGCCTGTGAATACAGCCATTTCTCCTTGCTCCTCACTGCTAGGGACGTTGCCCCTTATTGGGCTACTCAAGTATAGCAGTTTAGCAGAGTTGGAGTTGCTACAACAGTCGGGAAGCATGGACAAATTGGATGTGAATTCAGAAGAGAACAAAACCAGTTTCTTTAGCCCTGAAATTCCTGAAAGCTGGCTGTCAAAACATTCACCTGGATATTTTAAGAGCCGATTTTGTGAAAAGAAACAAAAAGGCTAGCCTCAGGACATGCTTTCAAGACTTCTTTTCACTTTAATAACACGATTTCCAAAGCTACGCGTGGAAGCATTTAATGACAAACAAATTCAAATAGCATTTCAATAATGACAAAAAAAACGACGGCAGCCTCTAGTCTATGATCTGCTGAGTGAAAATTACCGACAGAGGAAGTGGAACAAGTGTTGCTTGCCAGTTCTTTCATTTTTAAGGGAGTTAAGGGATATGTTCGTTTGCAGAAAACAAAAATAAAAGATTTTATTCTGAATACATACATATTTTTTAAAAATAAGTCAGTCTAAAAGCGGGGTTTGTCGTCCGTTGCTTGATTGACAACTTTTAACACCGGAAAATAAGGTCAGATTACTAGCCGACAAAGTGGGCAGAATGAGAAATCTCACAGGCTTTCCCTCCCCTCCTCCTCCTTATTATTTTCCTGCTCTGTTACTTTGAGCTGCACTCCACTATCCGAACGCCTGGAATATAACACATAATGTTATTCTGTCTTACATTGGGAGGTCATGAAGCCAGGTTTGTTTCCTGTTCATTGATTTCCTGTGACATTTTGTTCTGAGAGAATTTTGACCTTGGAAGCAGTTCAAATTTCAGGAGTTGATCCATCGGATGATTTTGATTAACGTTTCACATGAAAACCATTCACTCCTCTTCAGTTAGAAATTAGAGCTCTTTTCTTTAATTATATGAGTACATGTAGGAATATATTAAATTCTGTGCTGAATCCAGATATAAGATCTCTGATTTAGCATGGAATTCTGTATGTCTTTCAACAAACTTCTAGTCTCTTTTCTTTACTTCTTTAACCACACCACAGAGAACATTTGCACTCGCAATCACTGCAGCAAACATCAGTGATCTCACTTTACATTTTTATTTCCAGAAAGCTGAAATACAAATATATGTTGAACTGTTTTGGTAAGCTGTCCACAAACACTAAGATTTTCCCCAGGGAATTCTGAGATTCATTTACCAATCACAACACCAAAATAACTTATGTCACAGCATTAACATTACAGCCAATCAGAGGTTCCTGACATTCTGGTGAAACCAGAGCATGATTAAAAGTGGTGTTTTACTCTCCCAAATTTTGTTTGAGGTGAGGGGGTGCTTGTACATGGGTTAGAGTTGAAAAGACTTGCTCCTACAAATAAATTGTTGCCTGCAATTCCTGGTGTTGCCTCTTTACAGAGATGCCAGCCTCTAAAGATTCTAAATTCTAGAGACTGTCTCTTTTGCATTACCCCTTCCCCTTACCCCCAATAAATACAGATCAACCCAGTCCCCATGGGTGTAGCTTAGGACATTACACAAAGTCTTACATGAAGAAGGAAACATCAAAATTAGCATTCACAGAATTTAAAGAGTTTATTCTTTTCCACATGGCAGGCTGATTGCATATATATGCAATGAGCATAGCTATCTGTTTTCTCCATCTTAAAGTTGCCTTGATTATGAAAAACCCAGATCATTGTAAATGGCAAAATTGAAGACATAATTCACTCTTACTAATACTTCTGTGCCACTGATTAACTGACCCATTCACCCCTGGAGATTTTGCCGAAAAATGCATTTTGAAGCTAGTCCTGCGGTTTTCTGGTCACTATCATGCTATAAAAATCTTCTGATCTTCTTCCTTCTGATCCAGATGCAGAATATTAACTTGTGAAGTTCAGGCATGTGCAGAAAGCAAAAATTTCGAGATTTTGGGTTTAAAAGTAACACAGCAGTCTCGACTTTTACTTTTCACTTTCTCTCCTCCTCTCTTTTTTTGCATTTCTAGCCTCATTTTTTTTCTCTTGCTGGGCATTTAGTAGGCTTCATGTTGGTGGGAAAAGTTTTTAGGAAAGCTTTTAGGATCTTAGGATTAGATGAAGGAAAGGTAGGTAGGTAGTGGAACAAGATTTTCGTAGAAAATTTCAGGTCAATGGTACATGGTTTTTTGCCTTTTTCTCTGGTGTCCTTGACTGAATTTTGCTCATTCTGGTATGGTTTGAAAGATCTCTTCGCTCTGCACAAGTTAGCGGACAAAGTTATCGTTGACAATCAAAACTGATGACGTCACAAGCGGTAGAAAGGACATGGATCCGTACGGGCGGTTATGGGCGGCTCAGGGGCAAATGGGTTAAGGCCTCAGGTCATAGTGATCTTACTGCATGTACTGCCAGCTCTCCCAGATACAGTGTGATTTTGTTATTAATTACCCTCTCACATTCCCTAAAAAATGATAATGGCAGAAATTAAGTCGCATATAGGTGTTCATACTATACCACTCCTGTCGGCACGAAAAGCTACAGTAAAAAAAAAAAAATACGTCACTCGACCCAGGTAACTTTCTACACGGCCGTTCTGACCAAAGCTGCTCAAAATAGTAAATTTTGTACTTTTCAACCGGGCATAGAGACCGCTGGTTTTATCCAATTCACGCAAATTGTATCTCATTTCTAAAACTGAAAGCGTGTAGAATTCGTCAAAATTTTATAACATTAGGAGTGACATGCACTCTAATACCCAAGCTATAGAAACTAACTACTGATGAAGCGTATTAGAAAAAGAACTTCCCAATTTATAGAATTTGATTAAAATTTATCATGTCTACAAAAGTAACTGGTCAAAGGGCTATTACGAGCATACTTTTGCTAACCCAGCGTGAAGATTCACTAGTCCCGGGCTAGTGAACTCCCGTTAGTGTCGAGCACTAAGCTGTTCGGTATAATGTAAACATAGCCTTATATACTTGGCTTAAGGTGTTGTTAAGCTCTTTAAGTAGTGAAAATTGGCAAGCAATCACTCTTTGCAATCACACATTTTGCTATTCTTACTCATAAGATTTAAAAAGGTGTCCTCTTTAGTTTAAAGCCACAGCTTAAAAGTTAGTTGATGATTTTTTAATTTTTTTTGATAAACTTTAAAAAGATATTTTTGGACTTATCAAAAAACAATCGTTTCAACTGTCATCTCCAAGTTGAATTCAAAACATGTACATGCTGTGCTTAAGAACTTACCAATAAGTCAAGTGACAATGACGATGACAGTGAAATTGACTATTTTCCAATTCCCCATAATACACTCTGTCTGCCCCCCCAAATTTTGCATAACTTATTGTCTTAAAATGCTCTTGGGAAAATGCAATACTCCCAGGAGCATTTAAAAACAATGGTTTATGCAAAATTTGGGGGGCAAACAGAGTGTATTATGGAGAATTGGAAAATAGAGAATAAAGTCAATGAAAAAGGAGCCGAGGGTAGGTCAAAGAAGAAAATATATTTCAAACCAAGTGGTCAAAAAATGTTCAAATACCTTAGGCCCACTTTCTTAAAATAGCGTACTCTGAAATTTCAGAAAGGTCTTATGGGGATCTCATTGGTCTATTCCTAGAATAAACCCAGGATCAGTAGACTCTACTATATATGGTTATAATGTGGCCAGTTTGAAACCCGCTGCATGTTGCATTGTAGAGCACAAAATCATCTGAATGTTGCACATGCCTATGGGGTTATCTTAAAGCAAGGCATTGTGGCTGAGCAGTTAGTGCACTCGACTTTCATTTCGAAGGCCCTTAGTTCAAGTCCCATCCTGACCACTGGCCGGATTTGTTCTTGACCATCCTGAGTTCAAATATTCGGCCATGCTTGTAGATTGAGCCAACTGGTTTGCCTCCTACTGGGAGTCTTAACCCTGTAATGTTTAATTTGAAAAGCCCCTTGCGGGGAGAGGATAATTAAGTATTATATTTTTAATTTTAATTTAATTTTTACATAATTATTAAATTGATAAAAATTGTCTTCCCAATTCAATAATAAAATTGTAGATGTAATCATAAGGCATGAGTTACTCTACTGAATGTGTTCCTCCATACATACTCATGCAGAAGTTTTGTTGGCTTAAACGCTTTACTCCCTCTGGAATTCAAGTTGCCTATAAGACCTTCCCCCCCCCCCGCCCCCCTTAGAATTTCCAATGACCCTCTATCTGTGTTTGTTTTGACTTGTCAAAAGATTTAATTAAGATTGTAGAATATCAGCTGTCAATTTGATACCTGTTAACCAGGCGTATGAATCAATCTTTGTCCATTGTACCTTTAGTTCTGTGAACCTTGTACCAAGCAATCATTCTGTAATCGAGCGAGCAGTCTTTCTTGAGTCTTTCCTGCGAGCACAACATGGGTACACGCTCACGAAAATCCAAGATGCCCATATCCGACGATTACCTCACAGGCCCAACTCTCGCAAATCTGTCGGGCTACCTCGAGGATCCTTTTCCATCTCTACCTCGCGCAACAGCTGATCAACAAAAGTCCCAAAGCACGAAGCCAGGGAAAAGCACACAACAAGAGACAACGACCCCAGCAGCACAGCAACCTTTGTCACTAGATAAGCAGATCCAACTGGAGCAATTGAAGCACAGCAATCTACAGTTGCAGTTGGAGCTTACGAGGGCGCAGTTAGAGCTGGCGAAGCTAAGCCCAAACGTTATACCCTCGCAAGCTATCAGTTCGATGAAGCCAGAAGTGCTGTCACCTCTTGACAATATTCTTGCCTCCACGCCTTTTAGACCACCATCCCAAGAAGTATTTGCAGAGGGTGGCAGTGTCCCAACTCTCAAACATTTGCGGACTAAAGACAAAAAAGAGCGCAAACATCTTTCCTTATTGCCTAATGATTACCTTTTCTCCGCAAAAGGTAAGATAGACTACGACAACCTTGAGATTTCGGAGTTTGTGGGTGGCTTTCTCGAATTCTTAAATAGTCAGTCAGAGTTCGCGCAACAGCGCTATTTAGCGTACCTCAAACTGCTCATGGAAAGTGCTGCCACATATTCATGGAACAGCGTACGGAATTTCTACTTCTCCATCAATACAGCGGTAGAAGCCGGACGTTTGTCTCTCCAGCAATTTGACCAGATAAAGGATCGGGCACAAACCTTCTTCACCCACGCCGATCTGCCTTCAGCACCGACCACTCCTCGTGTTTCAACCACATCTTCTCAAGCGCGCTACAGCAAGAAAGATACCTATTGCAAAGAGTGGAATTACACAGGCAAGTGTATAAACTGCTCACCGACAGAAGCGACATACAAGGGCATTCACCGTTGCCGTGTTTGCGATGCACGTCACGCAATGTTACAATGTGCAAAATGTCGCTTCCCAATTCCTAACACTTTCAGCGGCACGCCTAAATCAGAAGACAAACACCGACTAGACAATGCCATTGCTTTGGCGAATGCCGTCAGAGCCGTGCATGCCCCTAATTTTTCAGGTGCACGAATTCCCATCCAGACTAACTTCAATTTAGCAAAGTTTGAATTTTACCTCGAACATTACCAAGATAGAATTATTATTGATTTTCTTCGTTACGGCTGGCCGATTAATTACGTGGGGTCTCTTTTCTAATCATCCTTCTGCCGCCAAAAACAGCGTTTTCCTGAGATCTTATGTCCATAAAGAGCTTGTTCATCGTTCTATTTGCGGACCTTTCACATCTAACCCCTTTGACACTGATTGTGTCATCTCACCGCTTCTGTGCGTTCCAAAGCGTGACTCCGACGAACTCAGAGTCGTTCACGATTTAAGTTTTCCTGAGGGTTTCTCTGTCAACGATGGGATCGCCAAAGACTCCTATATGGGGTGACTATGAACATTCTCTGAAACCGCACAATAGACTGTGGCAAGAATATGATAAGTTACTGTGCAAGGCGGAAAACCTTGAACACTAAAAAATATCTCTGGCTTGTTGCTAGTATCTTGCAGAAAAAAATCGCAAGCATCAACCGTAATTTATATATATGATTTTTGTATACAGCAATCATGCTTACTTCTGCCCTGAAAGTGAACAACTGTCTCAGACTTTTACTTTTTATTTTTCAGCTTGGCTATATTGAAGAAAACCGCCAGAACGGTTCTGCTAGTGGCAGTGAAGATCATGCAAATTCTTTGATGAAGCAAGCGCAATTTTGGTTCAAACAACTTCATCATAAAAACAGATTTAGGCCGAAGGTTTTGGCGAAGGTTTCACACGGTGGTAAATGCTTTGTAGGAGCCTCAATAGCTGTAAATGATTTTTTAAGGCCTCTTTGCTTGTATAAGAGAATCTCTCAATTTAAATGGAGCTTCAAGAAGGCAATAGTGCATTCCCGGTCTCTTTATACCACAGATGAGAGGGACTGGAAGTCTTCTGCATTTGAAAAAAAAGAGTATACGGAGGAAAAAGCTCCTTGCCAAAAATGTGTTCAAATGTTTGAGAACTTACCGGGATTTATAGCCGAAGGGAATGAGGGGCCTGCGCGCGATTCTCGCAAATCAAATTTCGTGGGTAATTGTGCTGAGTACTGCCCCGTCAACGAACTTCTTACAGATGACATGGGGACCTCAAATGAGGAGAAACTAAGGATAGAGACTACTTTGAAACAATTTTGGGATCAATGTGCCACTCTCTTTTCTGATTATCAGTCCATCTGTGAGAAATGTGTGAATGCTTATCAGGCGACAGCTAAAAGACGCGAAAGACTAGCAGAAGCGTATTGGCTAGTAAAACATAAGATGCTTATTTTAGGTTTAAAAAAGTACAGTTTGTAATGTCCTTTCTCTACCGACAATAAATGTAGAAATTTTAGTAATTTTAAGTCAGATCAGGACTGACCACTGGTGACGGTGAGAGGTCACACAACCTAGTCCACCTAACACAATACCGTCATTGAAATAGAACAGAGGCAACAGACTAAAATTTTTGTAGTTCCCACATTTGAGAACAAAATTCTCAAAAGAAGAGGTTTTATGGCAGTTTGATTTTCAGCATCTCTATTTTGATACATGACAGCTGTGTTGCAGGTCATGAGTTTCTACCCCAACGTGGCAGGCAATACGTCTACTTGCTGTTACTGATCTGCTTAAAGTTTTGTTAGTTATGTCGTTATTTTGCGTTTATAGTAAAACCTTTTTCTGAACCTTCCTCTGAAGAATTCTATCTTCTACAGACTCAAAACTTTTGTTCCACATGATCACCATGTGACAATAATCTTTCCAACTGATGTAGATTTTTAAGATACAGAATAGTTTTTATTCAGTTTTTCTCCCTCTAAGAAAATTTAAGAGACTGTTTGTAGATGCTATGTCTGTATGTTGATATTATGTCGATATCTGTTTTCCAGGTATGAGGCTGGTCGTTTATTACCTTTGAAGGTGGGGGGTTAGGGGATGGCGGCGACCATTTTGAGAGAACTTAGAAGATTTTCAAACTAACCCGCAATTCATCCTAGCTTTATGGAAATGACCCCCTACCCGATTGCTGTGGGAATTACGAATATTCTAGCTACAAATCCTGCCGAAGTTCACCACTTACTAACTTTATCCACAGTAGTGTATTTAAGATAAATGTTTACAATTTTCGGCCTTTACATGCAATTTCAATTCACTCCCGTTACTGCTTTGCACTACTTTCATGAATTTTATTGATTAAAAATAATCCCTCATGTAACGCTCCCGTATCTGAAAAGGACCCCCCAAAACCAATCAAGATTTTCAAAATGACCCCCCAGTAAAATGCTCCGCCTCACTGGTAATAAACGACCAGACCCTAAATTAAGTCGTGTACGTGTATTAGTAGCTGTAGCGTTACTGGTTAATGGTATTATAATATTTATTCAGAGTATAAATGGGAACTTACAACATGGGGATGCACAGTATTCCATGTGCGTAACGTTACAGAAACTTCGCACCAATTCTTGCCTTCAGTCCTAACACTGGAACAACGAATTAATTCTACAAAAGCCATAAGAATTTCCGAGAAATATTGAAAAATGGAATGGAATTGTCGTTATTCCCTCCCCTAACCCGGACTCTTGTGGATCTATTCTTGTCAATAAGTAAGTTGATTGTCCAGGAGTGAAAGTGTTTTCTGTAAACATTTGACCTTGTGTGTCGCCAATTTCTTCTCATAACTAGGACGCTGCTTAGTATGGTCATTTTTTCTGTTTAGGTGAGCTTAACTGGAGTTTAGAATTTTTAGACATCATGCAGTAGTGGGAGTTTAGATATATATGTATATATTTTTTGATAACATCGCTGTGAAGCGTATTTTATTATTATTGTTTTATATGCAAGAGCCACATATCAGAGGTTTTTAATATGTAAAAATAGTATTGATGACTTCTTGATGCCACCTTTTTAAATGTCTAATTAAAATATCTTAACATTTATGAAAAAGATTTAAATACTTACCGTAATACTTCAGGTACAAACTTGAAATAAAATGTCAAAATTTTTGGTACTGCTCTCATAAATGCGTACATTTATTTTACGTAAAGGTTGCAGGTGAGATATTCATCCCATAAGAACGCGTTTTTTGAGGCACGCCATATTAACTGGCAGTGACAAGTCTTTGACGTATTTATTATTCTTTCAAAATATTTCAGTATCCGTTTTTGATTGTGTTTAACCCCCCAGTTAATTCTTTATAACCAGCTGGCGCTGCTGAAATTGAGAGCACTCGCCTCCCACCAATGTATCCCGGGTTCGAATCCTGGCGTCGATGCCATATGTGGGTTGATTTTTATTGTTGGTTCTCTCCCTTGCTCCGACAGGTTTTTCTCCGGGTGCTCCCGTTTACCCTCTCCTCAAAAGCCAACACTTTCAAATTCGAATTCGGTCTGGAACGCAAGGACACGTTTTAACGAGTTCTTGAACTCGTAAGTGCACTCTAAATCAGAAAGATCTGTTTTAGCCCTAAAAACAGGGCCGTTTCGGTGAGTAAAATACAGTCCTATTTTTGGGTCTAATTTGGCTCCCTTAAATCAGGGCCAATACAGTCCAATTAGCTAGGGCTGATTTGGTCCCAGGGCTGAAATGGGCCCTACCGTGGGCTGGAATAGCCTTTTGATAGAGCTTTTTTGGCCTAAATTGTGCTCAAATGGCTCCAAGAAGGGCTGAATCAGACTTTGGCCTGCAGGGCTGAATTGACACTTTGGGGCTGAAACAGATCTTTTTAATTTACAGTGTGCTCCGTCGGTAAACAAATTACAATTATAAATTACAATTTTGCAAGATGTTTACAGTTGTTCCATCATTGACATTAGTCATGGACTAAAGAATTTGAGATGCTTGGCATAACGATAGATAACAAACTGAAGTTTGACAATCATGTTGCTAAAATATGTAGGAAAGTTTCACAGCAAATAGCTGTTCTTAAAAGAATGAAGAAAATGCTTCCCTTCGAAACAAGGCGCGACCTATATTTAGCATTTATCCTTCCTCACTTCAATTATTGCAGTGAAACCTGGAATTTTTGTAGTAAAAGTGCTGCAGACAAATTGGAAAGGTTAAATGAGCGCGCGATCAGGTTTGTTTTCAGGGATAAGTACACAAGCT